CGCGTACAGCATACTATGAACCGATAAAGGATATTGACCGTTGTGAATCTGGAGGACATGAACAAATGCGTCAATCAGTCAACATTGCGTTTGGCCTGTTGTTGCAACACATGAACATTACAAATCCTTGCAACTTGATAGCTGCAAGGATGCGTACAAAAATGCTCAAAAATGCACTGCAAACACTTGCTAAACTCAAATATAACCGACTCATGAGCTATTTTCAATAGTCTTCATTTCATCTGATGTAGATCGCTTTGTTGGCAATGCGTACAGCTTTTTATGAACAGATAGATAATAGCGACCGTCATTATTGGATGGTAAATGCGGGAGCGAGAGGGTTTGCTGAAGCGGAGGGAGAGTCGTCGAAGACGAGTTAATCGGAGCGAAGACACTTGTGCGGATGAAGGTAAATTCTGAAGTGATTTTATTTTTTGGTATTAACACTATCTACTTTGTCTGCATCCAATCATATGGTGCTTCCAATCTCACACGACGGCTAGTTATCAAACCGTGACCGTGGTTTCGGTTACGAACCTGAACCGCGACTAAGTTTAAGAAACAAATCGTACTTACGCGTGACCGAATTGGACCGATAGCCGGTAGCTTTAACAGTACCATAGCTGGCGACCTTAAACCTTCAATACCCCCCTCAATGCAAACACGCGTGAATGCCGAGAGCCGCCGTGAGGTTGCTTTGGCGTGGTCCCAAATGTGCTTTTGTCATAATGTCTACCAACATCATTGACGTCTCGCAATACTCAAGCTGAACTTCACCGCGCTTGACTTCGTCGCGAATGTGGTGGCACTTGATGTCGATGTGCTTGGCGCGACCGTGGTTGACAGGGTTCTTCGTCATCTTGATGCTGATTGTCTTCAAAGATCATACGTCCTGGCCCTTGTTTGCCAACCGTCGACAAGATCTCACACAGTAGACGATGAATCCAGTTGCCTTCTAGAAAAGCCAGGCTTAGCGCGATGTATTCCGCCTCGCTTGTAGACAGCGATACACTTGTCTGCTTTTTACTTCCCCAGCTAACAGGTGCGCTCATCAAGATAAATGCGTAGCCCAAAGTCGACTTGCGATCAGAGTGATCGCCAGCCCAGTCTGCATCAGAGTAGCC